GGTTCAGCCCAAAAGCCTGACATCCGGGGCCCACAGGCCCTGCATCGTTTCAGCCTAAAAAAGGCCTGAGCCTTTTTAGCCTGAAACTGAGGGCTATTCTCGGGCCCTCGTCAGACCAACCTGCCCTGATACAAGCACATTCGGGCATTGGCAGGAGTGACCTGCCCTGATACAAGCACATTCGGGCATTGGCAGGAGTGACCTGCCCTGAAGCTTCCTCAAGGGCTAGCACGTGCAGGCATTGGCAAGAGCAGCCTCCTGGACGGGCCAGCACTATATAAGACTGGCCCGCCCTACAGGTTGGGACAGACGAGAGGAGACACTCAACGTGCACTTCTACAGGAGGCAGTAGTCTTCAGGATTCGCCTGCAGTAGTAGAGTAGCGTTAGCAGTAGTCTTCAGCGCTAGGCGCTAGTAGCAGTAGACCAGAGTAGTGGAGAGAGGAGGCTGGCGGAGGCCAGGGATGCTTACCTGTGGCGCCATAGCTCCAGCTTTGTCTTCGAGGTACCTGCAGCAGAGCGCCACTCAGCGAGTGACTTACCTGAGGCGCCATAGCTCCAGCTCGCCAGCGAGGTACCTGCAGCACAGCGCCACCATCACCGGTTAGTACCTGGCATCCAGAAGAGAGAGAGAATTCTTCCTCTTCCTCCTCTCAGTCCACCATCTCTCTCCTACCCTCTCACTATCTGACTTCACTGTTTCGGCAGCCTACGAGAGTGAGAGTGGTTTACTTGCAGGGCTACAGGTAGGGGTTATCACGGGCATTGGCCTAGGATCTGGTTCAACATTTTCGGGCAGACATTTGGTTGGACTTCGGCAAGGGACTATTTTGAACTTCGCTATTGCGATCTTAGTCTTCTCCCTTGCCTCCATCTTCGTCCTTCCTTCCCCCCTCCATCTCTCATCCGTGGTATCTCCCCATGTGCGTGTATGCAGGAGGGACTTTCGTCTATGTATGCGGTCCCTTCCCTCCCTCTCACATGTGTGATGTATGATGGGATGTCGTAACAGTCCAGGTCAGGGCAGGACTTATCTCCAAGTCTTCCGCTGTGCTATTAAATGCCATTGTTCATGTATCGGGATGTACACTGTCTGTTGATATTACGTTAGCAGTCCACTGTCCATTCAGTCCTTTTCATCACAATGCGGATCCTTGGCTGAACTCTCAGTGCCCGACTGAGCATGTAACAGTTGGCATCGGAGCACCGCACGTGAATCAGGACTACCTGATCTGACACGTGTACGGGGAGTTAGCTGGTGAAAAAGACTCGACTGACTTATTGGTTGGTTGAGCACACTAGTTAATCCCCAAAATCACGATTTTGACCCAACTGCCAAAAATCGAAATTTTTCTTTTTTCTGGATTTCGTTTTTCCGTTATTTCTGATTGTGGAAAAATCGCAGTAGCACAACTCCTGAAATTTCTGTTGTCTTGTCGAAATTTCACTGTTGGAAATCCAGAATATCTCTTTTGAAAATCTCGATTTTGCAGTTTCCCATACTTAAAAAAATTCGGAATATTTTTTTTCGAAGTTCATTTTTTTTCAAAACGGTACGGGAAATCTCTCTGGCAGTACTACTTTCCAAGCTACGCATACTCTCATTAAAGCAAATCCGAATTTTTTTGTAATCATTTGCAGTCTGGTAGTCGAATTATTTTTCAGTTGTATTTCGTACTTCGGGGATTGGGGGAGCTTGCTGAACTTGCAAACAATTTTTTTTTATTTTTTTTTCTCTCTTCGTCCCCTCAGAATTTTTTTGCAAAGTTCAACCTTTTCTGTTTTGATTAGCATCTCCTTATCTAGGCGATCTACCTCACCCACCCTCCCTATCTACGTTGTTTGCCATCTATGATCTCATCTTCTTCATCCATTCCGGGTATTCCCTGTGGTGGAATTGGTAAGTTGCCACGTCAGAAGGACCACATCAGCAGGCCACGTCAACAGGGAGTGCCACGTCAGCCACTCGGGCCTGTTTATGCTGACGCGCTCGCAGACAGCCGTCATGGACCAGAAACCGGGGGAAACGGCGGAGGCATATCAGGACCGCATGCTGGCTTTGATCATAGAAGCCAAGCAGCGGGCGGATGCAGTAGCAGCCGCAGAGAAGAAGAAGGCGGAGGATGCCGAGCAGGCACGACTGCTAGCTCTTGAACAGCAGAGTCTGCAAGCCGAGGCAGCAGCGAAGGCTGCAGATGAAGAACGATTGAAGCGGCGTGAGAAAATTTTCAGTGGGGAGCAAGCATTACTCACATTGGCAGCGGAATGGCGAACTGAGGCGGAGACAGGGAAGATGGAGGAGAGCGAGACCAAGATTGCCCCCCTCCTCCTCTCCCATCTCACGGACCTCCTAGCGACATGCATCGCGCAGCAGGAGGGCATTCACAACCTCGATGCCGAAGTCAAGAGTGTTCGCAGCCGCGTACAGCAGCTGGAGCAACGACCAGCCGCCGCCCCTGTGGCAAGCTCCTCCAACACATCAGACCGCCTGGACGCATTGGAGACTGACGTCAGCACACTCAAGGACGGCGCACGACTACAACAAACCGCTACTCAACAATTGGAGCAGCGGGTCTGTGCTGCCGCCGCCAGCCCGAGTTCGGGACAGCGCGAGTCAACTCCCAAGTTTGACGGTCAGGAGATCTTCTGCAATTCAACAAAGACGGATCCAGTTCAGTGGCTACGCAAGTTTGAACTCACGTTGCAGCTGCACCTCGTCAGCGAGTGCAAGCACCACGCGTACTTATACTCCCGGTCGGGAGGCGCATGCCAGGCATGGCTGGACAATCTCTTGTCCCAGTACGGGGTGGTCGCTGCCGAGTTACACACGAAGATCAGCTGGGAAGACCTCAAGGCGGCGTGGCACAAGCGGTTCCAAGTGGAGCCGCCGAAGATCAAGGCCATGGACAAGCTCATGACCTTCGAGCAAGGCTCGCTGCCAAGCGTCGACTGGATTGCCGAGTACCAACGCTTGACATCCGTCCCACGTCTCTCGATGGGCTTCAAAGCCATCAAGCACTACTTCATTTCGAGGTCGTGCCCGACGTTGAGCAACGCCTTGACGCATGTCGAGGACACACTGACAACGACGGCGCAACTGTTCGACAAGGCCGCACAGATTATCATCACGAACAAGGAGGCGAAGAACCTCACTGGTGCTACGGCAGGCCCGAGCAAGGACCAGCATCGGCCCAAGGTGGCCGTGGTTGTGGCGGCATCGCCAAGCAGCCAATCTAGCGAGGCGGAGTCTGCCAATGAAGGAGACAGACTCGCAGCTTCCCGTGATGGTGGCCGCCCCGGCCGAGGCCGAGGACGCGGCAAATCGAAGACAAACACCACATCAAACCCCGGGCCCGGCGCAGCAGCTCAGGGGCCCTGGACCCCCTACGGTCTTTCGGAGCAAGCTTACAAGCAACGCACGAAGTACCGTTACTGCCTGTGGTGCAACAGCGACTGCCACGAGTCAGCGGGCTGCCCTACCAAGGGGAAGGGCAAGCAGGGAAACTGAGCGCCGCCGAGAGTGAGTCGACGACACTCTCGACGCCTTCGGAACCGGTTTCTTCGTGAGTGACCAGCCTTCATTCCAGGGCGCATGCGGAAGTCGACAGTCCTATTCTCTATTCTTTTGAGGACTATGCTGCCCGACTCGTTCCGGCGCTGGGATCTTTTGCTCAAGGACAAGATGTGTGTGCGGCATCTTCTCCGTCCGACAACGGTTCTTCTTCATCTTCAAGTGGTTCTTCACGGGATTCGGTGCGCGGGTTCAACATAGAGGAATTGGACCCGCTCAAGTCTGGGGATTTCGCATGGCTTCCTCTCCCGACCACGGGCCGCTTACCGGGACCGCWATGCGCARCACTCTGTGCCCATCTTCACAAGTACTTGTCCTTCTATGCACCACCAACTTCGCCGACGGATGACGAGGTCGCGGTGGRGGACATCTTGGCATATGTTACCAAGGTGGCCCGCGAGTTTCGCACGCAGCGGTACGACGACAATAATGCACCGCTGATGTATGTCCGCATCCAAGTTGGGCAGGCGTCCTGCAACGCTTTGCTGGATATCGGCGCGACTCGCAACTTCATGAGCCAAGCTTTTATGCAAAGGGCTGGCCTCGGCGCGCAGGTTCGGAGGAAGGCAAACCCGACGGTGATCAAGTTGGCGGATGGAAAGACGCAGCAACTTCTCGACCGTTACATCGAGGTCGTACCGGTGTACTTCGCACCTCATGCATGCGAACCGGTCACGTTCGACATCTTGGACACGAACTTCGATATCATTCTGGGAATGCCTTGGCTTGCAAGTGCGGATCACACGGTCAACTTTCACCAGCGGACTCTCACCGTTCGCGACGCCTTCGGCGCCGAGGTGCCGTGTACTATTCCTCTTCCGCACCCTTCGATCCGGTGCCAAGTCGTGACGGCCAAATTGTTCCGAACTACATGTGCATATGAGCAACCCGAAGAGATAGGCCTATGTTTCTTGCGG